CAAAGCAAAGCAGCCATTTTTCTCAGTGGCCATTGGTCGTAATTTGGAGGGGATCCGAAATTGCACTCTGTATGGGAACTTCTACACTTCGTGCTACCCAGCGGAGTACCGTGGTTGGACCAAACTTCTCGATAACTGGAATAGACTGGTGCACTCTGGAATGCTTAGGGATTATCTCAGTTGGCCCTCATGATGGGACTCAAGGGAAAGCCTGTCATTGATTTAACCCATATCTGATAGGTGATATGTCAGCATTTAGATTCATGGGTCGAATATTCTCAACAACAGCAGTTGGTCATTTGTCTCTATTACTGAAAATCTGGTCATGGTTTCCGCTTAGATCTTAATGAAACATTATTGTGCCTTTCTTCCGTGAAAGAACGTCACCGTGCTGAATCAGGTGAACTTTTATCCGAGTTTTCTGAAGACAATTTAGAACCCTGAACTTATTTGACAACCAGGACGCTTTCTGTATAACGAGCCAATCAATCAGGGTAATTTTAATAAAAAAAAGTCTTCATCCACGAATGTGTAAGCGATGCACCTGTCCTGGGACTACTGCTAACCTCCTTAGTACTGTGATACTCAAATCTCGCAGGTGATACACTTCGATCAAGATCCTTGTGACATCTTCACACTGATCCGAGTGCTTGGACATTGTTACGCATAATGACGACTAGCAACTGGTTTTATGGGCTTTTACTGTGTAGGTAGAATATCACTTCTACTCGCACCTGGCCCACGAGGAATTCCTCCGAGTTTACTGAATAATCCTCTCCGTTCCAACCCCCCTGCNCATGGTCTGGTCCATTTATCAAAGCTGCATACCGGAATGTTTACGGCCAGTTGAGTCGACAGTAGAAAGCTGAACTCCTGGCGCGATCGGGAAACCCCCGGAATACTGAGTATGGATTCTATACTTTTTTCAGATTCCCGGTTCGAGCACAATGTGTGAATTTCATCGACCCTCCCCATGCGGCCTCGGATGCTCCGTCAGCCTTTTTACCTTTCGACCAAACTGTAGATTTATCCATTGGAAGGCCGACGGCGCTGAGGCTGATAGGAATCTCAATTGCGGCCAGTGAAGTTGAAAGCCACATCAGAATAATCAGATCCCTTGTTCACTTCGGTGATTTCTCCCCCGGATACGCCTTCCCAATTAAACAGGACCATTTTATTCATTCCTTATTTAGGACGGCGTATACTAGGATCTAGCGCAGGGTTGAACCATTTTTCATGTTCAATTCTTTGGATATTCGACAATTTTAAGTTGCTGTTTATTCATATTTTAGTCGACCAGATCTCCCGAACTGGTGTATCACGCAGTCCCAACGTTACTTGGTAAGAAGCTAGAACATCCAAAGGTTCAAATCTTTCGCAAACACTATCCTTATCACAATATGACATACGATGAAAGCATCGGTCAGATTGTCTTCGAACATCCCGGGGGCGTGCTGCTTACTGTAGAGGAACTGGTTGCGATGTTGCTGGAATACGCAAGGGACATAGCTGAAAATCATGCCGGTAAGTACGTTGCTGTTTGTTCCTCTTTTCCTTGTATGCTACTAAAATGCTGTCATGTCAATACGGTCTTCCGGACACGTGCCTCAGAGACACTTTAGGGTGATATGCTTAGTTTAGACACAGGACGTGACGATAACGGTGGGTTTTCAACTCTTCCGACCAGAACTTGCTCATCCGTATCGCTGTGTTCGGACAAAGTGGAAGCAACTGTCCCGAATAAACGTGGAACCGAATTGCCCTCACTCGCAGCCTGTGGCAACGTTTAGTTCTTGGCCCCCTGACTGATGAAGATTTTCAACAAATCTCCTCCCACCCGGCAAAACTTCCTAACGTACTCTCTAGTTAGTAATCGAAAGGCCTTTTGTGTCACAGTTAGAGAAACAAACCAAAGCAAAGCAGCCATTTTTCTCAGTGGCCATTGGTCGTAATTTGGAGGGGATCCGAAATTGCACTCTGTATGGGAACTTCTACACTTCGTGCTACCCAGCGGAGTACCGTGGTTGGACCAAACTTCTCGATAACTGGAATAGACTGGTGCACTCTGGAATGCTTAGGGATTATCTCAGTTGGCCCTCATGATGGGACTCAAGGGAAAGCCTGTCATTGATTTAACCCATATCTGATAGGTGATATGTCAGCATTTAGATTCATGGGTCGAATATTCTCAACAACAGCAGTTGGTCATTTGTCTCTATTACTGAAAATCTGGTCATGGTTTCCGCTTAGATCTTAATGAAGCATTATTGTGCCTTTCTTCCGTGAAAGAACGTCACCGTGCTGAATCAGGTGAACTTTTATCCGAGTTTTCTGAAGACAATTTAGAACCCTGAACTTATTTGACAACCAGGACGCTTTCTGTATAACGAGCCAATCAATCAGGGTAATTTTAATAAAAAAAAGTCTTCATCCACGAATGTGTAAGCGATGCACCTGTCCTGGGACTACTGCTAACCTCCTTAGTACTGTGATACTCAAATCTCGCAGGTGATACACTTCGATCAAGATCCTTGTGACATCTTCACACTGATCCGAGTGCTTGGACATTGTTACGCATAATGACGACTAGCAACTGGTTTTATGGGCTTTTACTGTGTAGGTAGAATATCACTTCTACTCGCACCTGGCCCACGAGGAATTCCTCCGAGTTTACTGAGTAATCCTCTCCGTTCCAACCCCCCTGCTCATATCCATAAGTTTCACATGATCATTGAGGTTTTGCAAGTTCGCCTTCTCCGCGTTCAACTTTGTCATTGATATGATCATGGAATAAACAGTCCGAGAAGTAGAAACTCTAGGAGTAGAACGGACACGGCGGGTAGATCAGTGACCGTCGGTCTGCACAATCTACTGTATGCGGAATTCCAGATGTGGCACCTTATTTCATCATGCGCTTCCTACCCTCTAAGTGCAAAGTTTTGCTTCGGGATTTCCAGTTCCTTTGTATGTTTGGAACTTACGAGCAAGGGATTGGAGCTTTTTGGTCAGTCAACGTAACTCAGCAGTTGTATCCTGTACGCATGTTCAAGCACTTGTAATGTCCATAAGTATATCCTGTTTTCGGCGCTTGTGGACTTTTCAAATAGAAGGTGGGTTACCTAGCGTAATTGGGAATTGGTATCTGGAATGGGTTTGTTGTTTGTAATGAATTCTTGAACAGCGTAGCATTATATCTCGGTCAGGGTGGGTTTATGAGTCAATGGTTCGTTAAGCATTTACTCTGAAGAAGCACATTATTGCCTTCGTAATGTCCATAATTACTAACTAGTGTAGAATTTAACTTCTGGGTAGCAGTGTTCTGTTGTATTGCCGGGCCATACGATTTATTCAGGCACTATCCTTCAGGTGTCGCATATCTCTTTTCGCACCAGAAAAAGGCACTATCCTTCGGACGGCAGTGTTAACGGTGCCTCATTACTACGGTCAAGCTGAACGTCGCAGCCTGATTCGTGCCGCTGAGTTAGCCGGTCTGGAAGTGATACAGCTTATCAATACCGGTTCCGCAGTTGGCCTGAACTTTGGTGTCTTCCGTCTGAAGCAGTTCAACGCGACGCCTCAACACTATATGTTCTTTGATGTTGGGTACAGTAATACCGTTGCAACAGTTGTATGTAAGTACAACTCCTTTTATCTCCTCTTTCTTGCTTTTCATGTAACAATGGATTGCTTGACAGACTACCCTGTGTATCAAGCGTGGTTTGAATTCTAGCAGTTTAATCCGCATGCTCCTCACCAATTGGTTCATAGCTTTCATCTAGCCTAGTGAGTTGCTTGCTCCCGTAGACTGAAATGTTTGGTCTATGTACACAGTAGCGTTTTTCGATGTTGAATTTCTGCATCGGAACATGCGCATTGCGAATACACCAGCAAACGTAACCACTGTTTGCTCTTCACTCCTCGTACCATGTTTTCCATCCTTCTGCGTGCCCAGTGTGCCACAGATCAGATTTCGAGGCCACAGACTGTGTTGCTGTTGTGAATTTACCCTAACGCCATCAAATTTAATACCACCTTATCATCCGTTACATCTCTACCTCCTGGCAGCGTATCACGTGGGCAAGCATCATTACGATGGAGTCTTTGGAGAAGATCCTATAATGACAGTCCTTGGTGTCGGGTACGTTCTCCCTCGGTGCCATGCAGACTAGCATGGTCGAAATGATTCATTTACTAACCACCGACATCCTAATTCCCACTGTGTTTCAGCTATGCACCCGGTCTTGGGACATCCACTTTTATCATGCTGCTCCGTGATTATTTGGCCGGTATATTCCACCAACAAAAACCCAATATCAAAGAGGATATTTTTCAGAACAAACGGGCAATGGCAAAATTGAAGCACGAAGCTGAGCGGGTGTTCACGATGCTTAGCGCAAACAATGAAGTTATTTCACAGGTGCAGTATTGGGTTTGATCATTTATTTTCGCTCATTAATAGTTTTTCAAAAGTCTTTGACATCCAAAGATCATCAACCGTCGCTGTGTTCCGCTGTCAGCCATGAAAATTATCATCGTTCATGGATTTTGGTACCATTAGGTGAACAANCGCAGCATTGTAAACTCGACTCTTGATGGTTAAGCTGATTTCAGGCCCACGATACAGCTGATGCAGTTTCACGAAAGCTCCTCTGGCCTTCCCAGTTCGAATGGGAATATCAGCTTTGGCTAGACCACCGGGACTGATACAGATAAAAAAAATCATTCAGCTGTAGCACCTTTTCGATGCCTAGATGCCTGCCACACGGAGGAGGCACGAGGGCTGGGATACTGCCAGGTTACCCGAGCCTAGACAGGGGAAGTCGAGAGGCAGAGGTCGGGTTCGAACCACGGACTTTCCGGCTCTAACCACTTGGTCCAACTCGCCCCATGGACAAATTTGTCTACTACGTAAATTGGCTCATCTGCTAGCCTGATATTAGGGTTCGAGCATACCCAGTCTTACAGTAGCACTACACTTTACAGGTGTGAAGCGCATGTTAAACCATGAGGCAGAATTACGATTATTTACTGTTGCTTGAATTGCGACCGCTTAAGATCCAGGAAGAGCTGTGTTTTCTGCGTACTCGATATCTGTGAGTGAATGCCGAGGCAGCACTTGGCTTACACGGGCATTATTAATTCATAGTGAGTTTTCTATAATCCTATCAGTGACATAGATGAGGAAAGAGGAAAGAGAACAGTCTTCCCAGACACCACCAGGTGTGCTGAACTCAGGCAAGAGATTGCCACAGAACTTCACACGTCCGCCAAAGTTGGCGCCTTAATGAGGGTCAAGAATTTATGGGGAGTACCTTTGGTCCGTATACACTGCCATAGTGCCTGAAGGTTCACAGAGTCAAAGGCAGCTTTCAAGTCTTGAATGCCAATATATAGCTTCTTCATCCTTACTGAGAACCGGCATGAGCGTGAATCCAACGAACTCCGGGCAAGATTAACCCACAAGCTTTCGGGTTGAAGTATGAACACTGTTGTCCAGTTCCGGCTGCTTTTTTGCTACGTCATAGACGCTTTACGGTGAACGAGTAGTTAAATGGTAATACAGGTAAACTTCTACAGCACGGTGTTCTCTCGAGGTTCGGCGCGTTAGGGATTATGAAATGCTAAGGATAATTTCACTGACAATAGGGGTCCGAGGACCAGTCGAACGAATCAACCGGAACACCTTGTAGACGTTTCCAGCATTTTCGCACCTTTCATTTATTCGGCCTTTTGTTTCTGTCAAGCTTCTCGGTCTGCACGGACATTCAGTTTCACCTGGGGTCCGATAATGCGTCGGGTGGAGTTGTGGTTTCGGCCTCGGAGAATCTGTTGTCGGGCCTTCCACAAAGACTTGGTCCTGTCAGAGATCTAATGTCTGAATGATGTTGGCTGGGTTGTACCTGAAACACATGTTCTGGATTTGAGGAACGCGGTGGACATCTGTTCCTAGTGGCCGTTTATATTGGACAGCAAACCGTCCGGCGGGCGTTCGAGGAGCCGGTCCTGGAAGTTTTGTTTGATTTCTGGTCCACTAGCTTGTCAGTGGCTAAGCGAGGTGTGCAATTTTTGCGTAGACGTATAAAGCGTAATGAAAAGCAGTAGTGTACAAGTGCACGGTCGAAGTCCATGTTCCTTGTGTTCCAGAAAGAGCGGCAGGTAGTGATCGGCCCTCACCACCGATAGTTGAGAGCGAAGTAGGCTATTTGGATTTGGGGCTGGTTCGTTGGGGGCAATACCAAATCAAACGATTCCCGTTGTTTGAAAATTGATACTGTAGAAGAACAGTCTGTGATTATTACACACCTGTAGCAGGCGCTGTCTGTTTTCCATTTGTCTCATC